TTTTTTTTTTTTTTTTTTTTTTTTTTTTTGTAATGGCGATTATTCCCCTTGTCCCACCTTTCAGTCTGTCACCAGCTGCACTTGCAGCCCACCGTCTTCACCTGAATGCAACGCCTGCTCATTTATAGCTCTGTATTCGGGGCAACTTTCAGTCTAGATACATACAGCAATAATGACCAGGGACTCCATATCGGGTGACGGCAATAGCTGGAGGAAAAGGAGCTGCACAATTGCATACGATAAGCTTAAGCCCCTTCTGCGACAGTTGTATCAAAAATAATCAAAAAATAAGCTTCGGTACACCAACTTTAGTATTTTTAATTTTTTATATAATGCGAACAATTTAAATACAGACCCAAGTTCAAATCCAAATGCAATCGGATGAACACGACACAATAATTCTGAAATTACCTGGGGCCGGTCTGTTCAATCATCAATGACGATATCTCAAGGCGGTCACCCTTTTTTTTTTTCCTTTTTTTTCTGAAGCTTAAGCCAGTTTTACCTAAGTAGTTGTATAAAATCAGGTTCAGCAAGTTTTGGAAGCATTTCAATTCTCAAACAGTTTTTAAATTTCCGCAAAAAACTTGTGTTGGTGATACGACGGGGACCCTCGATTGCATTACCACAGATTTTTTTTATTTTTTTTTTCAGTTGGCGACGGTCCTGAGATAGCATCCTCGAACTGACCGAACTTCAGACTGATTCCACTGGAATTTTAACTCAGACCTGAGTTAAAATTCCAGTGGAATCAGATGAGTAAAAATAACTCAGGTCTGTCCTTCAGGACATCCGTTAAAATTGAAACGATACAGAGAAGATTAGCATGGCAAAAAAAAAAACAAAAAAAACTCAGGTCTGTATTTCAACAGTTCATGTGTGTAGACTCTGTTGAGTATAGCGATTGACGCTTATTTCTTCTTCTTTTTTTCCCTACACCGCCAGCCCCCGTCTTGTAGGAGAAATCGCGACTCGCCAAGTCTGAAAATTGTCGCAGCTCAGGGCGCAGCCGGAACAAAATGGCTGGCGGCGCGAGCCCACAAAAAAAAAAAAAAAGGTGCGGCGCTGGCAGTTCAGAAAAGCCTGCGGCACAGTGCAGCATCCTCAGGCCCTAGGAAAAATGGAAAAGAAATCCTGAGTTCGCATTAACTTTGCAGGCAGAGGGATATGAAACAAGTGCGGGCGCGTTCGGTGACCATATACCCGAACGTTCGTGACCTGTGTGCTGATGGTTTAAAGGAAACTTGTATGGATGCTCATTTCTAAGGTGCACGTGCGAAAAAAAAACAAAGAAGGAAAAAAAGCCAGGGCGGCCATAAGGACCTGTTTTCCAACAAAAAAAAAAAAACGCGACAAAGGAATGGGCCTAATGGCCCCAATCATATATTATTATATGACGTATTCATTAATGGTTGGGTCTAACTTGTGTTTATTTCTCACCATCAGCAATTGAGGTAAGACAGCCTTTCTCTCGATAGTTGCCGGGGACCGCGCTTAGTCCCAAAGCCGCGGCTAGCAATCTGTGGACAATGACATCTGCCGAAAGAAGACAGAGTAAGTGCGACAGGAGGAAGAGATCGAAACAAAGGAAAGGACAGCTGCAAACAGAAGGAAGAGAGGAGCGGCAGAAAGAAGAGCTGCGAACAGACGAACAGAGGTTATGTAATTGAGAAGAAAAAGAGAGAAGCTTATTGCGTCAGCCTGGGTCGAGCAGACCGACCCAGGATGCCTCTGGCTGGCCGGATGCACCGGTGGGTCAGGAAAAAAAAACAAAAAAACAAAACAATATGTCATGTTACGATTACCATACGAACACAACTTTTGGCTCAAGGTCACCTCACAATCCCTTATTCGACCGGAAATTACAAAACAAAACAAAATCAAAATAAGTCCCGCCCCTTTAAAGTCTAAACTCTAAAGTTTAAAGTTTAAACTTGAACTTAAACTTCAAAGTTTAAACTTAAAAAGTTTAAAGTCTAAACTTTAAAGTTTAAACCCCATTTAATGCTACCAGCGGAATCCATCATGCCTTGCTGCTTCTGACGATAGGAGATGAACGATCACATAACATGAACCCTTCCTTTTTTTTTTTTTTTTTCCACACAACATGACCAATCGGAGATGACATCCAGAAATACTGTGAGCCTATGAAAAAACCCAAGCTTGCTTTAAACTCTTGTTACATTTGTTTTCTATTTTTCAAAATTCCTTTCAATTATTTACCTAGTCTCGTTTCCTATCCAAGCATATAAGAATAATATATCCTTTCAAAAAAAAAAAAAAAACCTAATTACCTTTCGCAGGCGGATGGAGTGAGACGGAGATATAAAAAAATATTTAATATAATAATAATATAATAATAATCAGGGTAACCGGCGTTCAGGACGGGCCGAACGCCCGAACCCGAACGCCCGAACGTATGGGACCCCTTGGGGATGCGTTCGGCATTGGGGACGAACGCGGACTCAAAAAAAAAAAAAAAAAAAAAAAAAAAAAAAAA